ATATATATATATATATTTAATATCCTTATTCGTATTACAGAAATTCATTGAACAAATATTATGTGCTACAAAAACAGATAATCATAGTTTGAATATTCACGAACATACACTATTTCAATTACATGTTTTAGTTGCATAATACATCTGTAAAGTATATGTTGTTAATTATAGTGATTGAATGAGACTAATAGACGCATTTTTCCTCGCTGTGGACCACAGGCCTTAACGTACACAGATATCAGCATAATAAAAATATAATAAAGTAATGAACACAATAAATTTAGCAAACACAAAATATATACACACGTAATTACATACATTAAAGTGGTTAGAGTGGCTCAGTGCGTTTCATTAATGCACGGTGCACAAACTTTGATAAATTGGGAATTTTTAACATAATATTTGGAGATATATTTGTCTCTTAAGTTTTTGAAAGCGGGACAGGATAAACAGAAGTGATATCAGTCTACTATGACTCTGCTGATACAGAAAGGAACGTGTTCTCTCGAAACTGGGGATAGTAAAATGGCTGTCAGTTTCGATTGGCATTGATTGCACAGCTACCTGTCACCGGGACAGTGCAACCATGAAAGCTATATTAGTGACGCAGTGTAGGTAAAATTCATAAATTGGGGTCGTTTTGAATATTTCATACTGACCAGGTTTTGGATAATTGTCTGTTTTAACTTTCAAATTAATATCTAAAAATATAGTTTGTAAAAGGGACCTGGGGGTATTACGTAACTCGTCACGGGTACTAAGGAAGCTTGTCCGAGATTTCATACGGGTCATTAAATGATATTCAAATTAGCCGCCATTAATAGTAATGATTCTAATCACAATTTCAGATGAGGGATACAGATTCACCGAAATTTAAGCTAATTCATTATTATTTATCTGCATGGATAAATATCTCCCACGTCTCAAGATTATGTTAGTACTTAGTATTGTCAAATACTATGGTGGCTTCCTTGTAGTACACGTATTCGTTTAGTCATCGTATTCTCTTCAGAGATCAACTGACGAATATAATGTATGAAACTGAGACTGAAATTATCTTTAACAACTATATTTTCGCCAAAATTATGCTGGTAGTTTATTTGTATTTTCTGTACAAGTATCCAAATTCTATAAACAGTTTGAGTAAAAATAAATAATTTGATAGTTTTGTCATCAACGGGGTTGACAATAACAATCAACATTTTGATATTTGAGTTGTAATAAGTTTAAATTTTACAAAAGTGGACCTTCGTGACGAGAGGGTAACTTCTGTGGGTACTACTAGTACACATAAAATGAAAAAAATATCAAAATTTAAATTATATCTCGTTATTCGTGTTATTTGCTGAACTCACGCGAGATCTTCAGGCAATATCACACCAAGTGTGTGCATCCTCGGTTAAACACATCTCGCTACTCTTAGTGTTATTATAAGATTAGTTCTCTCATTTCTGAGAATTTCTACTAAAAGTACATCGAATGTATCAGATATGCTATGTGTTCATCACCATGGGCGATGACATCACTGTGTGTGTCACAAACACTTGAACTTCCAGAAAGCGGTGGACTTTTTATTAATTGACATGTTTACCCATTGCAGGTAAAGAATGCGTTATCATGGTGCTTCACGACATGGACATGACGATGACAATGGCAGAGAAGGAAGACAGGCGGCAAGATTTTCTAGACAACTATCACCAAACTATGACCCGCTACGTTACGGATGTCATCATTTGCGGCGATATCAGCAGCGTCAGCAGTTACTGTTTTGACGCGGTCACAGAATTTGATGACGAAAATATCAGACAACTGCACAGATTTCTACGGCGGGCGATGCGGGCAATTAGTGACAAGCAACGTGATAAAGAACTTAAATCAGAAGAACTGACCCCAAATGACGGGTGCTGTGTTTGCAGCAATTGGATACGTAAATTGAATCCTTTCGCTTCGGAATCGGAGTCTGTAACGAACTCAATAACAGGCGCAGTGAATGGGTACGATAAAGAGCTTATAGGCAGTGCGGC